GAAATAATTCGCGGAATATTCCTATTTTCAAGAAAACTAAAATCACGAAATATCGTTATTTCCAAAAAAAAAAAATCGCGGAGTATTGTTATTTTCAAGAAAATAAAATCGTGAAATAATTCGCGGAATATTCCTATTTTCAAGAAAAATAAAATCGCAAAATATCGTTATTTTCAAGAAAATAAAATCGGGAAATATCAAGAACTATATTGCGGAAAAACAACAGAATAAATCCGCAAAATATGCAAAAGAATGGCGGAAATAGTTCCGCGGGACTATTCCAAGTTCCAAGACAAAAATACTCGCGATTTTCAGGAAATTTCTGATTACGAATTTTGCGCAATAAAAGGGTTTCGATTTCTGAGAATGACTTCAGGGCAGAGTCGTGACAGCCAGGGGTAAGTTAATCAATCAATCAATCAATCAATCAATCAATCAATCAATCGATCAATCAATCAATCAATCAATCAATCAATCGGTCCCTGTGCACGCGTCAGATCAGGTTCGTCCTCATTCACATAGTACAGCTACGATACCAAAACTGACATATGCTCGGGGGAGCAATGCGCAGTAGACCAAGGATCTGCAATGTGATGAAAAGGACTGAAGTGAACAAAGCAATGTCATCATAGCATCAACAAGCAATGTACACCTCGATACATACAAATGGCACCATGTGGCGTAGCGGAAGACTCAAAGATAAGATCTGATCTGACCTGGACTGACCCGACATCCATCGGACATCACACATGTGAGATAAGAGGAGGGACCGGAAACACGGAAGAAAGGTCCCTCCTTCATACGCAACATGGGGGAGATACCACGGATGAGAGATGGGGGAGGGATGAGACGAAGGAGATGAGAGGCGAGAGAGTAGACCCAGATCGCAATGGCGAAGTCCAAAATAGTCTCTTGCCGAATGTCCCAACAATGTCCGTCCCAGAAATGTCGAATCAGATCGTGGGCAATATGCCCGTTACCACCTCTACCTGAATCCCTACTGATAACCTCTTACACTCTCATAGAAGAAGAAGAAGGAAGAGAGAGGAGGGAGAAGAGAGAGAGAGAGAGAGAGAGAGAGAGAGAGAGAGAGAGAGAGAGAGAGAGAGAGAG